TTCTACCTCAGGTTCTTTTGCTCTCCGGGTTTCTGAAAATGAACTAATAAAATATTTGTAATGGCACCTGCAGCAGTGAGGCATCTCGGAGAGAAAAGCCAAGTCCTGCCTCCCAACCAGAGGAAGGCACAGTTGAGAAAAAGCAATAGCTCAGAGCTGCGTAGGAGGGAAACGGGAAAGGTTTCGTAATGGCTGGGGCACCAACGATGGCTGAAGGAGAACTGATGCTCCTGGGTGCTGCCCTGACTGTAAGCACGACTTTGCTCTCTGCAGCCATCCTCACGGCGTGGATTAGGCGCTGATGTACCGATGCACGGGGCAAACACGTTTTTCTCAGGCACTCTGCTTGAAGGCAAGCTGCCCGTGCTGCCAGGGGACAGCTGTATATCCAGACCTGTTGTAATGACACCTGGAAAGCCAGCCCTGCCCTCTGTTGCTTTCTTCAGATAGTCTCTGCACATTTTCCCTCTGATTCAGAGTACTGAGGTCAACGACATCAAGTCTGGCCTTGGTGATCTATGCTGACTGGCAGATGATCAGCTATCTGATATTTAGTTAGACAACTCCACATGAAATATGTAAAACCTGTGGGCAAAAGAGCAGTACTAATACTTTTTGGCCAAATTCTGCTCTCGGTTACACCAGAGGAATGCAACTGAAGTCAATAAGACTTACAGGAATTAAGGATAGCATGTGGTTTGGGTTTTTTTTTTTTGAGATGAGATTTAGATTTTAGTTGCAGTTAAAAGGGCTGGCCACAGACAAATCTCAAGGAAAAGTAACACTGTTGTTTGCTTTTCTTCCCTAACTCCAATGTCAGCCCCAGTCTGACAAAGCACCCTATAATATTTGCTTAGGCACTGAATTTGTTAGCCTAACTTATTTTTACTGTTTATCCCACATTTCTGTAAAAATGTGTAAAAATGTGTAAAAGTGTGTTAATGCCAAATGTTCTGAAATGCTCTTTTTCACAGGCATAGTGTACACTAGGAAGAGCTTGCAAGTATAGCTATGCTGGAATTTTTATATCAATAAACCCCTGAGGGGTGGTGCAACTCGAGGCAGCGCACTGGTTCCAAGGATGAAATAACACATCCTGGCAACCTGAGCGGTTTTTGCCAACAGAGCTGCAAGGCATTTTTTTTTTTTTTTTTCTTTTCTGAGACAGAATACCAGCAAAAACTTCTCCTGAGAAACGAAGCAGGGGCTCCACGTTAGCAAGCTGCTTGGGACGTTCACCTGGCGTGAGGCAGAGGAAAGTGCGCGTCCCCGCTCTGCTTAAATCAGGTGCATCAAATGTGAGTCCCTCTCCTAGAGAATCATTTCCCCAGCTCTGGCTGCCAAAAGATCCCTCCGTCCCTCTGCGCTCGTCTGTCAGAGCTGCCCCAGGACAGTTCGATGAACTGGTGTTTAGGGTGGGAGGTGGGAGAGCTGGGAGTCAGTCACGCGACACAGGAGCTTGAAGGGGGTCTCCTGTACCTCCGGACATCGGTCGGGCTTTAACCCCAGCCAGCAACTAAGCACCACGCAGGCACTCACTCATCCCCCCTCAGCCCAGTGGGATGGGGGAGAGAATCGGGAAAAAAAGTAAAACTTATGTGTTGAGGTAGGAACAGTGTAATAGGACAGGAAGGAAGAAACTAATATTGATAATAATAACAATAATAAAATGACAATAATAATAATAAAAAAATTGGAATATATAAAGCAAGTGATGCACAATGCAATTGCTCACTACTTGCTGACTGATGCCCAGTTAGTTCCCGAGCAGTGATCCCTCCCAGGCCAATTCCCCCCAGTTTATATACTGGGCACGACATCCCATGGTCTGGAATACCCCTTTGGCCAGTTTGGTCCAGCTGTCCTGGCTGTGTCCCCTCCCAACTCCTTGTGCCCCTCCAGCCTTCTTGCTGGCTGGGCAGGAGAAGCTGAAAAATCCTTGACTTGGTCTAAACGCTACTGAGCAACAACTGAAAACATCAGTGTGTTATCAACATTCTCATACTGAACCCAAAACACAGCACTCTACCAGCTCCGAGGAAGACAGTTAACTCTATCCAAGCCAAAACCAGGACGACTTCTCAAACACCAGCCTCTTAGCTAGCCTCAGGGGCAGAGCTTTGTCTGGTTTTCTGCAGAAGCACTTGTTGGGGCCCAAGAAATCTTTCCCGACAAGGATTTTGTTGCAACCGATGTCCCTTCATGAAAAGCATAGCATTTTAAAAGTTGCAGTTTTCTGACACAAGCACATGCGTAATCGTATTTCACTGAAGAATTTCTGATCAACTCTTGTGAGCTCAGGAAAGGCCAAATGACCTAAGGGTTATAAGGTGCCAGTTACAGATAGTGTTTCACATTCTTTCTTAGAAAAATAGTTATGAAACTACTGGATTTTCTTTCCCTACTTTTTTCTGTATCTCTTCCAATGCAAAATACTTTGTTCTCCCAGTGGAAACCAATCATTTACTAAATATTTAGTGTAATTCATATCTCTGTCTCCCAAGTGGGCCAATGTTTACACTTCAAAAGCAAGAATCTTTCTTCTCATGCCATAGTCACTCCATAGAAATAAATACAAACCACAGAACCTGCACAAATCTTTGCTGAGGCACAAAATTTTAAACACCTTATGGATTAATGTTTATGGAGCCTGTCAGAGATTTAAAACCACAACGAGAAAGAAAGGTTTTCTTCAGCTCTGAGCAATGCACTTTTTGTCTACCGCCAGCCCTACACTGAAAAAGCCTTGGCAGGTTGTTTGTCTAAGCAGACAGGTCCTTATTCAATTGTTCCTCATGTCTTTCCACTTAGTTCTTGCTATAAATTTGTCTCTTTGCCACCCTCTTTACACTTTACTTTGGTGTGCCTCAGAGACAGGCAGAGCCAGCAGCTCACCACTAATTCAGCCTAAGGGGAAATGCTAGCAACAAAGACCAGCCTGCCAAAACCCATAAAACTTGTTGCTTTTTGCCTCACTTTAAAACAAAAAAATAATATTGTCTTTTCTCTAAAGTGGTAAAGCAACACATGCCCAAATGAGTTCTTGACATTACACTGCAGGATTTTTTAAGGGTTTTGAAGAAACCTTGGCACTTATCAACGTTCTCCAAAATGTATGATTGTTAATTAGTTTAGTAGTCAGCAAAAGTAAAAAAAAAAACCTGGTGGCACAAGGTGCAACCGGTGGCTTTTGGTAAGGCAATGGGAAGTCCATGAAAATCACAGCCTCTGAAATACTGAATAAATCCAAAAGGAAAGAACTGATTAAAAGCAGAAAGGTAGTCACATCCACTGCCATAATAACCTGCTGTTTCACTGCTGCCACTGTACCTATGAGAATGTACCTGTACTTAGCAGCTGGGCAAAAACAGCTAGTGAAAATCATAGAGATCAATCATTTCAAAGAGAAACGGGCATTTGCCCCAAACTGTGCTATTTTTTTCTTAAAGGCTTAACTGGGCTTCTTGCTTTATTTACCAATTTTTTCCTCTTTCTGAAGGGAGCTTGGTGAAAAAAAGATGACTCTCCATGGACTAAAAGCCACTGCTACCCATTGTAAAGCAGAATTTGGCTAGGTCAAGCATAGCAATTTTTGGCAAGCTGATAATGCCACTTTCCCACCAGACGTGCCTGCTCCTCTGCCTGCCCTCAGAAACACTCGAAATCTGTCTGAGGGTCTCTGCTGCAGACCTGCCCCCCCGTAAGGTCTGCTGGGCAGCCGTTCCTGCTCCCCCCAAATTGCAGGGTCCTCCCCACCCTCTTGCTCACTTGTCCAGTATTTCACCCCTGCAGACGAGGCTGTCGTTTGTAGTCATGAGTCATGTTTTCCCACCTAGCACCCAAGATTTGTTTCGGTTTTCCTTGGACACTCATTGAGGGCAGAAAGGAGAAAATACCCTTTTCTCCCCTGTGTGCCTGTTATGAGGAGGGGTTAGGAAGGAAGGAGAGAAGGGGAACAACTAGCCTGGTACACAATACAAATGTCAATGCTGGGGACTGGAAATAAGAAATACTCATGCACTTTACCTAGCTTTTTATTCCACATTTAGGACTGTGTGAAATTTCCACTGGTAAAATACCACACTTTTCCTGTGAAAACATTTCCATTTAACCCCACAACAGACCTCTTCCCATTCTTCTGAGGAGCAGTGCATAAGGGATGCTGAAGTAGCACATCTCTGACAGCTGCCCAGGGTTTTCCCAGTTAAACTTCCTATATCTTCACATTTAAACTCTTTGCTCCTCCTTTTATTTGCAAGTATAAAGAACTTTTTCTGGAATTTGATGAGCCATACAGCAAACAGGCAGTGACAGCAAAATAAGTCTGGCCAAAGAAAGGGAATAATTAATAATAATAATAATAATAATAATAATAATGATGTGAGATAAGCACATTCTACTTTTGTGCCCAACGATTTTGAAGCTATTTTATGTCTTACATCTTCTGGTGTTATTTTGTGTTCCTATTTTCTCCTGCATTCTATGTCACTTCAGCTACTCCACTGGCTCTCAGAAAAGCATTTTACAGCCAGTATTTCACTCCACGTAATAGCTGTTTTCCTAGGGGATTTTCACAGTTGGTGCAAACCTAGTCACAAGCGTTGGGGGTGAATTTACCCCTCCCCAGACAGAGCTCCTCCCGCTGACATTCTCCACACTATGGTTTGTTTCCCAGGCCCCCAGAATCCTGCAGAATCCCGTGGTTGTTTCCAGATGATCAGGCAGCAGACTGAGTTTGTCAGCAACATTTCCAAAAGGCTAATTTTTTTCTCTTTTTCTTTTTTCCCCTCTCTCAGTGCTCACATCCTTCCTGCCATCCCAGGCTCTCCTTTAACTCAGGAGCCAGCTGTGTTCTCAGGGTTGGCTCCTGCTCCCAAGTACACCGTCCCAAGTTCTCCACTGGGCTGAAAGAGGAGCATCTCCAGAGAGCCGCGGCGATCCGGGCGGGTGATTTAATGCAAGGTGAGCGAGTCAGCAGCGATGCCTCTCTCTGCGTTGCGATGAGCAACCTCCTTCTGAGAAATCTGAAGAGCGTGCTGGTGTCGGCCGGGCAGGCAGAGCGGAGCAGAAGTGCGGCTCCAACTGACGGCGAAGGTACTAGCGCCGCTCTGCTCTCACCCCACGAGCTGCAGAGCGGGGTTTTTTAATTCTTGTTGTTGCCCTGAAGGATTAAGTCCTCTTCCTCATACTGACTGCTCACTAAAGTGTGATAAAATCCCACAGAGTAAGCTCTAATCATGAAAAATGCAACATGCTGGAACTGGAAAGTCTCACCGAAGGATGACGCTTTTCAAAGCTATCTGTGTTTCCCAAGGACAACCCACCACATGCCAGCCTGCTCCTCCACAATTTTGACTTGACTTCTACGTTCTGTCCCCTTTCGAAAAGGCCGGTTTGATGACTTTATGTTTAATGATCAAATAATGCGTGGGCCTTGGTGTTTTGGGATGAGGGTTTGGCTCACCTGTGTAGCTCTCAAACACCAGGATCTCGGCCCCTGGTTCCCATAAACACTGTTAAAAATTCCACCCCACGTTTCATGTGGCACAGAGCACAGCTCAGTCATCAGCTGCTTGCTCATAGATGTGTTAAAACAAACTGTGCGTTGAAGGAGTTTACAAAGACCATTTTCTACTTAAAAAAAAAAATTAAAAGAATGAATCATTTCTATTTTTGATTAAGAAGTCTGACAACCTCCTACTTATCTCTTGGACTCCATCTTCCCTATTGCTCACAGCGAACACAAAGAGGTAAGACAGCAGAGGGTTTTATTATTCTTTTAAACTAAACATGTATGTCTCTTTTTTTTTGTTGTTGTTTTTTGAACAATCACCCGTATCAAGTATGAAAACCTGTGAATACAGTTTAATGATACCACAAGTACGGGACGGCTGGAGTCTGGGGTTGCTGTTTATGGACTTTTAATTCGTATTCATATTAAAGCCATAGGAGGCTTGCCATTGATGTCAGTTGGTTTTGATTTAGTACCTGTGTTTATAAGAGGCTAAGTGATAATTCTTTACAAATAATAATAAAAAACATTACTTCTTTTTTGTTATTATTTGCTACAGGCCCCGACAGACTCTGTCACTGACTAGGACTTCATGATGCTCAGTGATGTAGAAACCTAGGAGAGAAAGGTAGGCCCTAGCCACACAGCACACAAATAAGCGCCTGTATATCCTCTAAGTATGACAAGAGCCGCTTGCTTGACTTTTATTTCCCATTATTTTTTCAAACTGTAAAAATAAATCAAGCATTTCATATACCTCAACCGAGGCTGCAGAACGCATTTGCTGCTTGAGAAACAGCAACTTGAAAAGCAGGTGAGAGTGCAGGGTAATTCTTTAAAAGAGGGTGCCAGGAATCCATAGCAGAAAAAGAATCTCGGAAGCGAAGAATCTCTTTCTAAGAATTGCGTTATCCTCTGCCAAGCAACACCTGATCCTGCAACGTGAAGCAGACTCCTCATCACTCACGTAGTAAGTAACACGGCTTGGGTCTAGCGGTCCCTGTCGTTGCAGTACGGCATTGAAATCTAAGAGGTTTCACTTTCTGTAGCCTGGATAGTTAAGAGCCAGATAATTTTTCCCTTCTCACAGAATTTCCGATATCCTTATTGGAACAATCCTGTTGAATTTAGTGCAGGATGGTCAACCGTCCACAGGATTTTAAAGCAGCCTGCACAATTCTATAGCGGAGAGATAATTCCCTTTTGCTTTTTACTGACCTAATTAAAAGCACAAAAAGAAAGCATTCATGCTCCAGTAAGTTCTGCTGAGCATTTCCTGAATATTTGGATCCACCGTCTAACCAACATGAGCTGCTTTCTACAACAGTTCTAGAAAGACGTGGGGGAAGAGTACAAGACGTGGGTCTCATTACGAGAGCAGAAGCGTAGGACCTCAGGAAATTTGGGTACAATTCCTAACGTGGCACAGATCAAGTCTGGACACGGTCCTGGTGTGAGGTGGCAGCTGGGTCAAAACCGATGCCAACACACGACTGAGAACGTCTCTGGCCCTGGGGGCTCAGGGCTGCGCTCGGCATAAACCCACCCCTGGAAAACTACGGCAAGTCATGTAAAACAAAATTTTCCTTCAGTGGCATCACCACAGAGGGGACGCTCACACGGTATTGTTGTGAAAGGACCCATGAGTCCTTCTGGGAATCTGTCTCCTTTTTAAATGGGAGATTCGCACCTCTAAGGAATACTGATGTGATTCTCTCATAGTCTTTCCCCAGCTATAGTGAGGAAAACCGTTTCTTTCCCTTTTCATATCCCGTACCTAATCAGACTGGAAGTCCTTGGAGGCAGGTAGGTTTCCTACCACCACAGTGGTGGTGGGAAGCTCTGCCTGTTAAAATTGCTCTGCCTTTTACATTATAAACCCCTATTTTCAGTTGCTTAAACCTTGATGGTTTTTTATCACTTGATCTCACATTTTCCTTTAAAAATATTTAGTTTAGGCTGAATTATCTTCTGGGATGGGGGGCAAAGAAAGGGAAGAAACTTTCAGCGGCATAGTCAAGACTCTCTTGAGAAAAAAAGCTGGGGAAATGACAGTAGACAAAATAATAGTGTATATTTTGGCAAGACATCTTTATTTTAAAACCATAATGCCCCCAGTTTCTGGACTCTAGACTTCCCATTTTGCAGAGTTTTGGCCTTTTGGCTATTGCCAACTCTTGTGGAAATCCACTCAAATTCGACTAAGTCACAAACCCTCAAAAACCTGCAGCTTGTTTTTATTAGATACATTTCTCATCTATTCTGAGCACGGATTTTTTTTTTTTTGCTGCAACATCAAATTCAAGCTGCTGTGCCGCTTGGTAGGCTAAACCGAGAGCAAAGGGGCTGTCGGCCGTGGATTGCCTTTGCCCAGCTGCACACTGGTGGGGCGCAGGAGGACGCTGACCCACCGCTGAAGGGGCTGTGGGGCAGAAGGGAAAGCAGGCGTGGGGCTGTAGGGTTGCTTGGTGATGAAGGGGGCCCGGACTCGAACTGGGAGCCAGACTGGGATGGACTGGCGGAGGTGGAAGAGGACTGGGAAGATGATTCTGGAGAGGTGAGACTGACTGCATTGACAAGGCAATGGGAATGAGAGGTTTGATGAGGGGAAAATGGGACTAGGTACGTGTGGAGAATAACTTTGGGGTATGAAAGAGGCTGGAGTTACGGTCACAAGAAAAAAAGCTCCTTCTGGCTCTGACCGAGACACCAACATTGTCAAGTTCCACCACCTCCTGGCTGAGAGGAAAAGGCGAAATGTCCTGTGCTGCCTACTGCAGCAAATGGCAATCTGCTACCTCTGCGCGAGACGCTGCTAGTTTGAGACTGGTGGAGCTCTGCGTGGCGCAGCGAAGGGTCTCAGACGTGCTCTGACCTGGGCAATGCCGCACGACGGCTTTCTTTTCTCTTTCCTGTTGAAAAAGCCCAGGAGATATTACGGGCCACACACACACGTGCGTGCACATACTTTGTGTTGATAATTGAGCTGTTTAAACCCAAACTTTTTGAAAAGGGGGCTTCCCGAATCCTTGTGACTCTGGCTCAGCTGAGAGCCGGAGAAGCTGTGACTAGTTTGTTGGCTGCATGCCTTGAACATGGTACGATCTGGAAAACTCAGCCATAGGTGTCTCAAGGAGGGCACCCAAATCTGTCCGTAATTAATACCTCCTTCTCCCCACTTTGGCTCCGGAGATCGTGCTCCAGCTGCAGCTGTGTGTGACAAGCCCTCAAGGTCAGAGCTTGGGGACACTGTCCCCCATGTGCTGGGACCGTGACACCTTGCACCCCCCCCCGAAGCCCTTTCACACCCGGGTCCTGTCCCGTGGACACCCTAAGACTAAAGCAAGCCCTGATCGCTTCGCCCCCCCCCGGCAGCACCCACCACCGTGGGCCGTGGGTCCCGGGGTGGCTGCGGGGGGACACACACCGTGGCAGTGAAAGAATTTCTTTCCGGCAGCCGGGGGGGGGAAGGAGATCGATCCTCTGGCGGTTCACAGTAAGGAAATTAATAAACTCCCTCCGT